ATAAGGGTAACTGGGATATCAGAATTGCTTGACAGAGAGTACTGCATTGCACTCTTTAGTTTCACATTATAATGAAAAAAATAAACTAAATTTTTTTTAACTTTTTGGAATTGTCATTTAAACATATAAAGATGGTTATGTTGTACAAACCTCTAGGATCTTTAAATGTCACAAACAGATGTTTTCTCATGCCATCTAACAGCATGCTGCTTTCAATAAATTTCCCTTCACTGAGTGACTCATCCTCCAGGTACAATGAGTAAAAATCTTTGGACTTTGTCACATCCATAATTTTTAATTTAACAGTTCTTGCAGCTTTTTCAGCTAGGCTGAAATCATCATCGCTTGAAATGTCATCATTGTCGCTACTTTCACTGTCTTCATTGCTATATTCTTCACTTTCAGATTTGGATGATTCTGAATCTTCAGCAAAACTATTATTATCAGCGGAGTACTTGTCTATATCATCTTCATTATAAAGGTTACAAGGTGTAGGCCTACTTTGCTTTCTGGATGCAGCACCTTCCAGGTCAGATGAAGAGTCTTCATCTTTTTGCTTCTGCACGCCTTTTTTAATTGAATATGAATTTCTAGGTGCACAAAAGTCATCTTCAGTCTCTGAGCTCTCAGATGAACTATGAACTCTAGTTTTGGTGGGAAATGATTTGCTATCGACTTTGTTTACTTCAGTTTGACTTAATTTAGGATCATTTAAATGACCTTCTTTCGTTGATGAACTCGTAGATTTTGCACCGTCCAGTCGATAGAGTGTTGCTGTATGATCCCCAATGTTTAATTGATTGCCTCTCCCTAATATGATGTTTACAGCTGCAAAATGTTTTTAGATAATTGAGTGTTAAATTTAAAAGGAAAATGGGAAAATGCCTGTTTGTTTCGATTTTAAAGGAATATATTTCAATTTAAATTGTACAAGAGCAGATATTGAATAAATGTGGACAGTGTCATTAAAAAGAGATAAACCGATAGAGACTTAAATTAATATATGACGGTAATGTTAAATAAAATCAAGTGTCATGTATCATTTAGCTTCATTTTGTTTAACGTTTAAACGTTATACATTATAAAAATCACAGTGACCAATTATCGTCAATTTCACCTATCTGTCTAGAGATACTCTCTGTATAGGGGATAATCTCCAAAAAGTATTTCATATAATAGCTAATATCAGTAGCGATGTGGCTTAAAAAAATCATATTTTAAGGTAATGATCAACAATTTTAAAATGTACCACTTTGTTCAGCAACAAATTAAAAATAACTATTTTATCCTTCACTGCATTTATATATGGTAGGCTTAAAATATAAAGTTAAGTCCTTTAAGTCTTAATAATTAATATTATGAGTATGAGTCACGCGAATGTTACTTGCTTTCAGATTATAACTTATTTTTAAAAAAATAATTTAAATTAAATCCACCAGAACCTCACTCAAGTCAATTTGAATAAAACTATAAGAAGAGTAAAATATAGAGAAAAGAATTGCATTTCAGGTGCGTGACTTAAGTCAAGTATAAACTACGGAATGCGCCGGCATAGCAGGTCATGTGAGCGTTGAGTGCTTAGAGGCAGAGCCGTTCTTAGGCCTAGATAAAATAGGCGATTGCCTAGGGCCCCACTGCCAAGGGGGCCCCATCGACCGCTTTTTCGCACCCCCCCCCCTTTTTTCTGGGCTACGCTACACAAAACCCAAGAATGGCTCTGTTAGGGGAAACATGGGGGCGTGGTTGTTACCGATAGGCTACACATAAAAATTAACCCAAAAACCAAATGGTCAGACTCTTACGGGGCAAAACTTTTATGCGATGCCCCCCCCCC